GTTTCCCATGGCCCCTCACCATGCGCCATAAATCATCCTGTGCAGTGAGTACCTTATTATGAGGAAGCATGTTTGTGTCATGGAAGAAAGGCAAGCCAGGAAGATAGTTGACCCCCATGGGCAATGATTATGTACTGTCTCCATTAGAACATCTACTCATTCTTTTGTTAATTGACCTTTATTTGCAGTAAATATGAAGTTGTTCTGGTAGAACCCAACTGGAAATTCCTTTCTCGTGGGCTGTGAAGCTGAAGAGAGATGTGTAGGGATCTGTAGGGGTTTAGTTCTGGCAGCGAGGGCTGGTGTGTTTGGAAACCGCTTTGATCCTCTCAAGTGATTATTGAAGATTACACTCATAGGCTATGCCTGGGTAAAAAGGAAAAAAGGGTTCCCTGAAGACTGTGTACAGAAAGCCAGAAGGAAAAAGACTTATGGACTGCAGTGGCTATATTGGGGTAGAGCTCATCCTCATGGGGTTTGAAAGTATGGTAGTTGCTAGCCACAGGCTTTGGACTTTTTTGCAATTAGACAGAACCTGGAACCAATGAAGTTGTGGTTCCCAGTCCTGACAATTGAGGGAGCAGGCCTTCCAGTCAATGACATCCAGACTTGTTTCGGAGGGTCACTTACACAGAAGATATTAAAGTCACTAGATCAGCATAACAGCCAGACAATGGAAACCCCCGTATTTCTCTCAGGACAGGTTTACTTTACACTCCATGTTATTTAAGACTTACCTTTGGGCCCATTGGACCTTCGGGACCAGGAAGGCCAATTTCACCCTAAAACACAGAAAAAACACAAATTTAATTTCTTTTTTCACTAAATATCACATGATAGGGATACCTGCCTCTGCCTCCTGTTATCCAGAACCTTAAAGGGACAGTGGGAGCCACCACCAAGGGTTAAATTTGCGAAAGGAACAATACCTATCATCTGGTGCTGCTGAATAGGATTTTATTTATAGTTCTACTTTAAAACCCCAAACGTTCCATTGAAATCAGCTAAATACATTCCATGTGCATAAAACCAAAAAATCCAGCAAACTTGATCAACGACGGACACATCAATAATACTGTTCTGCAAATATTGAGTGTATCTTTTAAATCTATTCTGTTATAAAATTCTAATTAATAAGTTCCCACAATTTTTTGGGAGTAACTGAACCTCAAAAGGTGTCAGAATATGGGATACAAGTACCAAATGGCCATCTCCGTATATCTCCATGCTGATCAATACGATGTCACAGACTGCTATCAGGCTGAGTATAAGGCTGGGTTCACACCTAGGCATATCGAATATGCGCGTTTGTCGCACGTTTCGTCCAGCACGTTTTTACCGCGATTCGCGCGTTTCCAAAGGCTACCTGGCTGTATCCCAATGGATACATGCGCCAAATACGCCCCAAAGAAGCTCCTGTACTTCTTTGGGCGTAGGGCGTTTTGCAGCACGTTCCTACGCGCTGTAAAACGCCCAGGTGGGAACCATGCCCATAGGCAATCATTGGTTTTCACATGTTGAGCGTTTTACAGAGCGTAGGAACGCGCTGTAAAACGCCCAGGTGTGAACCAGGCCTAAGACAAAAGGAGATGTATGGACATCTTGTATGATGATATCATGAGAGGTAAAGGCTATATAACAGGGTCCTCAATGTTCATGAATTTGTGTTGTGATGTTTAAATGTCTTTTGAGGTACCAATTATATTTTTGTTTTTACTTTGATAAAAGTTTAGGAAGTTTGAAGAGAGTGAGAGGGGAGAGCCACACATTATAGTGTTAGTCCAGCAAATCTTTATTTTGCAAGAAATATCTGATGCGCTTCAGGGGCTCAATACTCCCCCTTCATCAGTAAGGATTTATCTCATTCAGGTCACCGGTCATAAAGAGCACATGTCACCCACCCAATGCTATCACATAGGCAGTAAAATTAGACAAAAAAAACAAAAAACAATGTTGTCTTCTGGAAATGTTAATAACCACATACTGTACCTTCTCCCCAAATTGGCAATGGGAGCAGTTGATAGTGCTGTTTTCGGTTCCCCTCTGCTCCATTGCTGTTGGTGTCGATATGATCGGAGTGGGATTTGTGACTACAGTCAGAACACACTGCAAAATAAAAACAATGCTATTACATTCAAAAATAAATAACTACATGTATAATTAAATACATAAGAATCAATTGTTGGGCTAATCATGTGGCAATTTATCAGAGATGGTAAGGGCTCATGCACAAGGCTGCCTGGGGCTGTACAATGTAAACTTGGGTGTGTTTACAGAGCCACACCCCTTTATGCAATGGACAACAGCAGAAAGGGGGGGTCCTTTAGTCCTATCCTGTTTCTGTTTTGAGACAGTAAGGTGAGTGAGCGTTGTCATCCTGTGACTGAAAGTGTGTTAGTGGCATCAGGTGTAAATTGAAAAAAAAATAGAAAACCAATGCAGCCGCCCCCATTAAGGACTAGTAAGCTGCAATATATTACAGTTTTTGTTTTGGGTTATAGGTACGCTTTAAATATTTGTGGACTATACAGGATTTGTGCACCACGGGAGTCCGCAGATAAAGTTTATATTAATTGGTCAGGTTCAAGGGGGCTGGACACTCCTAGCAGTGGATTAGAGATATCATATCTCACTCCCAACTGATATATACCAATGTGTAACTTTAGTGGGTGCTGAAATGGCCAACGGGTGGCCATCCGAAAGAGGTAATAAGGTCTCCAGCACACCTAGGTCCACTTCATCGATCTGTCTTTTATTGATGTTTAGAAAGCACAATTTTTTGGAACCACATGTGGTCCCTTCATCAGGCAAAACAATCTGACAACTAGCAGTTGGGCTAGGGGCACATAAACACAAGACAGGTCCTAAGCAGTACCTGAGGGCTCTGAAGGAAAGCCAATAGTCAATAGCCAGAGAGAGAAGTCAGCAAAAGTAGAAGTCTAAGCTGGAAGATTAGTCACAACTAAAGCAGAATCTGACCACAGACTGACACCAAACAGATGGCAGGATGTGGGATCAGAAGAAACTATGGTTGGTGGAAGTGGAAAATTATTAGATTGTAAGCCCTCAGGGACTGGGCCCTCCTTACCATCTTGTCTTGAATTGTATTGTGATTGTAATGTCTTCCTTATATTGTAAAGCGCTGCGCAAACTATTGGCGCTATATAAATCCTGTATAATAATAATAATAATAATAATGCCACCAGCATGTCATAAGGTACAAAACTCCACAAGAGTCCCTTATGGTGGGGGTGGGTTTGGCTGTAGGACTCTTGCAGGATGCAGCTCTGAGGATTAGATTACACATATTAAAACGTCTGGTAGTCACCTTAGTTTAATGTCCCACCAGCCCATCCAATATATTGATTGTCAGCTCATAACCAAACACAACTAGAGAGGTGCCCATAATTAGATGGCTAACTATGGGCTACGACAATCAACAAAAATGTTCCTAGTTGCCTAGCACAACATACGAGGGGAGGCCAATAAGTTCTTACCCTCACCATGATCTGGATGTGCTAGGGATCTGAAATGTTGCAGGTGTATAGGTGAATATCTTAGTAATATGCATGCCAATTTTAGTTTTTGTAGGCCGTGGTGAATTATAGTTAGAGCCAGGAGCATTGAAGTAGGTGTCATGCCGTACAAAGTTGAATACCGAACCGTGATTAGTTTCCTCCATCTTCAAGGGAAATCTGCCCAAATAATCGAGCTGCAGAAACTGTCACTTTTGTTCGCGATTGTGGCTATGAATCTCTGCCCCATCCACCTTACTCACCTGACTTGGCACCTTCGGACTTCTTCCTGTTTCCAAATCTGAAGAAACATTTACGGGGAAGACGTCTCCACAAACATGAGGCAATCATTACTGAAGTTGGTAGCTGGTTTTCCTCCAAATCTGCATACTTCTACGCAGATAGTATTAAAGGTCTGTTCCACAGATGTGAAAAGTGTGTAACCATAGGAGGTGGATATGTAGAGAATTAAGAGTCAGTGGACTACATTTCAGATCCCTACCACATCTGGATCTTGGTGAGGGTAAGAACTTATTGGCCTCCCCTCGTACAGTGGTATTCCTGAGAGTTCTCTCCTTTGTGAAGGTTTACAACACGCTGGTGCAATGAGCATTGATTCAATCACTCATAATCTCTAGCTGAAGTGTATGTGACTCAGTGACATCACGGGAGCACAATTGGGAGACACGGGCAAAGCGTTGTCACCCCGTCACAGGAAGTGCCTGAACATGACAGGATCAGTCATTATTATTTTAATGAAAGCTGCAGATCTAAGAAGACTGTAATTTACTTTTTAAATGACATTAACATATTAAAGCTTATATGAGATTTTAGAGACTGAATTTACATATATGTTTTCATCCTGTGTATCATAATCTACATGTAATATCAATATATATGAATATAATTTCGTACAGGTCCATTGGGGATATCGCAGCAGGTCTCCAGTTCAGCATGTCGGGAGTCACAGTAGATGACGATACGTTGGAGGTCGAACTGAAAAGCAAATATGGACAATGAGCTCACAGGTTCTGCCCATGAAATACGACCACGTAAATGGTTACATTGTATCCTCCAGGAAGCTTTGACTTACATCAACAGGAACGCTGTCATACAGACGTTTTCCGATCACCGTCTTCCCCTGGATGTCAATGTTCTCTCGGTCTTCGATGGGCAAAGTCATGACCAGCTTGCAGTCAATGTACAAGGTGACCGTCCTTGCCTGCACGCTGATGGCGATCTTGTGCCAGTTCCGATCGAACAGATCGCTGACTTGGGCATTGCGGAAGCTAGCTTTCACTGCATCCTTTATGACTCCCACCGAGCTGTACTCCAAAGCCTTGTTCTCTCCATCCAACCTCAGCGAGACCTGTAAGACCAAACATATGAGCAACCACACTTCATGTATCCAAAAAGTTCACAGCTGGCACTTGCTGGCTTTATACACTGTATGGTAAAAAGTTATAAACATATAAAAGTGTTGGCAGACCAAGACTAAGTGGTCTATTGAATCTGCACTCCAAGTTTGAATATAGATCTATGTTTGTCCCATGTTTAAATTCACCAAGGGGTCCATTTCTGTTTTTGCCTCTATTCGCACAGAATGAATGGCTCTGTGAACTGTTTATAAACAGTAAAGTATGTCACCAGCATATCATGGTTCAATCTTCAAGCAGTGATCATTTTATTGATGCACACACATCTTGTCACATTGCAACGTTTCGGGGCCACTCACGTTCCCTTCATCAGACATGCCTAAGGCATGCATCCAGCAATAAGATGATCACTGCTTGAAGATTGAACGACGGTGTGTTGGTGACATACTTTACTATTTGGATCTGAAGCTGCACCATCTGCAGTCACTACAGCACTTACTGCAAGGGACATACTAGTAAGGACTGCGGTAGGATTCTTCTGCATTCTGTTAATAAACAGACCCATTACCGTTGACTCACTTACTACCTCTGCTGGATATATGTTCGAAGCTTCCAACTGCCCTCTCTGTAAAATAATACTTTCTAAGGTTAGTTTTGAACTTTCCTCTTGCTGGTTCGAGGTCACGTCCATGTGTTCTTTTAATTGGGTTCATATTGGTAGTTCTGCCCTCCTGAACCTTTTTCACACCCTTCATGTATTTAAAGGTTTCAGTCATGTCTCCCCTTTCCATTTATTTGTGGACTCCTGACCATCATGGCTACACTATATGGTGAAAAGTATGTAGACCCCCCTCCCTCCATATGATTTATTAAAGCTGTTTTCACAAGGGTATTGTTAATACTACAGAATACAAAGACACTTTAGACAATTGTGAGCTTCCATCCTTGTGACAACAGTTTGGTGAAGGCCCTTTTCTGTTCCAGCATAACCATGCCCCTGTGTACACAGTCAGCTCCATAAAGACATGGTTTGAGGAGTTTGGTGTGGAGGAACTTGAGTGACCTTCACAGAGCCCTGACTTCAACCCTACTGAACACCTTTGGAATGATTTGGAAAGCCATCTTTTCATCCAAAATCAGTGACCTGGCCAGTGCTCTTTTGGTTAAATGGGAACAAATTCCCACAGACCACACTCCAAAACCTTGAGGAAAGCCATCCCAGGAAAGTGGAGGCTGCTATAGCTGCAAAGGTGTGTGTGTGTGTGTGTGTTCCCATGGTTTTGGAATAAGATGTCCACCAAGTATATTGAGTAGGTGTAATTGTCAAGTGTCCAGAAACATTTGTTCACATAGTGAACTTTGTTATGGCATTGTAGCAGACATAGGAAAATAGCGTAGAGTAAAGTAGAAGGAGAAGGAGGTGTGAGGGGAATGGGGAAGGAGAGTGCCAAGCTGCCAAGCCCTAATGTCCCATGTGTCTCTAAATAGTCATCCATATTCAATAAAACTATAGCGTGTATTCCAGGGCATCCAGACTTTTTGGAATTTATGCATGTAGTCATGTCATATTGATTTAAAGGAGAACTCCAGAATTGATTAAAATTAACCCTTGCAAATGGGCTACATCCACTCCC